TGTGTGTGTGTGTGTGTGTCACGAAATTCATAGCGAGCGTCGCAGAAAAGATAGGATGACAGTTCCAAGAAGTGATATACATGGCAGGACGGGAACACTTTTGATGGGTGACAGGAGGTGATGACACTTGATAAGATTCGATAAGGGGCCTTAGAAGGGGGGGGGGGGGTGACCAACATCTAGCGCAAGTTGCAGCAGCTGCGGGACCGTGATTTCAAGGAGTGATATACATGGCAGGACGGGAACACTTTTGGTGCGTGACAGGAGGTGATAACACTTGATAAGATTCGATAAGGGGCCTTAAAAGGGGAGGGTGACCGAATTCGTGGCAAGTTGCAGCAACGGCGGACCATGATTTCAAGTACTGATATGCCGTAGGGTGGGGCTGGCAGAAGCTGATAACAGTTGATAAGATCCGATAAGGGGCCTCGGAAGAGGAGGGTCATCAAATTCGTGGCGCAGGTTACAGCAACAGTGGGAACTCAGATCCGTGAGGTGATATAGGGTGTGGGACGGGAACATTATTGGCGGGCGACAGAAAGTGATAACAGTTGATAAGATACGGTAAGCGGCCTCGGAAGGGAGGGTTATCAGATTCGTAAACAGGTTACAGCAACAGTGGGACCTCTGATCCGAGAGGCGATACAGGGTGATATGATAGTGATACGGGACGGGAGTGTTATTGGCGGGTACGGAAGTGATAGGAGCTAAAATTGACAAGGTAGCAGGAAAATCCGCTTCACCGCTCACAACAACAATGCGATCGATATGACTCAAGTATAACGATCTCAGTGATTCCAACAGAACTCATTCCTCACTGCTTATTAGTAACGACATCGTGTACGACCGCTAAGCCAGCTCTATTCCAAATGCATGTGGTTTGTTTACAGAGATGTTATGAACAGCAGCAACTGACTTTATCACTCTTACCACAATTATCTTCCATCAGCAACTTCAGTGAGGGCCATTTAAAGGGTTCCACTGCTGAATGCGGTAGTGCATTCCAAGCAAGACGACTTCGGAAGATGGTCCTCAAGTGAGAAAAGGTTGGAAATAGTTTTGAGGTTAAACAGAATCGGAAAGTTGAAGCGAAACATTGTTATGAACGTACTGTGAACTGATTACGTCGAACAATGAGGCATTGGCCATGCATATGCTTCTCACGATATGGTCCGAGTCGATGGTCGGCAGCTGATGTGAAAAGTCGAATAAGAAGCGGTTCAAAAGACGTTAAACAGCCGACTCCTTACCTTCACACGACATTTGGTACCAAGTACAGTGTCGAAATTCTCACTGTCCCTTCACCCATTGCATCGCTTTCAGATGGAGTCCAAGATCTGGCGAGACCAGGGTGAAAGGCGATGGCAGCCGCGTGGAAAATTCTGACAAGATTGACCACATCTCAGTCTAAAATATCAATTCCAATTAATTTAAAGTATATATAACTAGCCGGGTATCGATAGAAATAAGATTTGTATGGGCATAGTCAAGACACAGATGCAACAGACGTTGATGACTATTCCGGGCCTCTAGCTCGGGTGCTGCGAAAAGCGTTCAGAAAAGGCCGCCCCAAGAATAGGCTGTAGCTCGGCGCGCTGCATGTGAATTTGAAGAGCTGCGGCTATCGCGGTCGGGCATTCAATAGAGAAAAAGGGCCTTACAAAGTCAAGGAAGAGGAACCCGCTAAGGAGTGGGCAAACACTTGAGAATAAGAAGGCAAGGACCGATGTGGTTACGCCAATGCCTCAAAGAAGCGCTTCATTGAAAAAGACAGCGCTTCCGTAGGCAGGGAAACTAGGAGAACCTCGTCGAGGCAGAGGTTTTAACCAAACAGTGCGTTCAATGATGTATAACCTTTGCCAATGTGGTATTCCCCTGAAGTGAGTCGAAGTCAATCTGGAGAACAGAGTCGATGACGAGAGCCGCTTGTTCGGCAATTTTCTGATCGAAATGAGCAGTGATGGTAGGGTCGGTCGAAAATGCAGGCACGGTGAGCAGATCGCGAATGAATCTGAAAAAGCAAGGCTGTCGAAGTGCACGCTCGACGGCATTAAGAAGAAACATACCTGGCTACAGTATGAATGGTCGAAACTCCGTTCGCATTAAGGGCAAAAGTACCGAGCATGCCCAGATGAGTCAGGACAGACGCCTGTAAAAAGCTCATCAAATAAAGCAAAAGAAGCTGATTGAATTAGGAACGCTACCCGCTCGTTGGACCAAGCAGCGCTTTTTGCTGACAGCGCATTCAAATAGTCTCCCCTAACAAGGGCAGTTTTTCCTGTTCTGGAGCCCATATTTAAACGGTCCGTTGCAAGTCGTATGCACATATTCATACAGGATCCACAAAAGTGTGGTTCATTTCTGCTGTACGCTTCGGCGAAAGGGGCAAAACAATGTTGCGAGTCTACGACTCCACACTGCCCCACGATAAACAGGGTGATAGAAAGTTATTCAGATTTCTTGGTCATGTTTCTGTTAAAATAAAAGGTTCCGACTAATATGAGTTGAGGAAATCAAAATTGCAGAGATGCAAAATCTTGTCACCTAGGGGATTCGAACCATGCCGCATCAAGCCTAACTTTTTCACCAGCCTCTCAGAAGCTTGTCGCCGCGCGACAAGTACAACTATTTGGGTGGGCTAATAAGTTAATGGCGCGGCCGTTTTTTCAATTGAAAAATTTGTTCCAAAAGTGAACTGTTTTGCAAGCTAGCTTAATATCGTTTAATAGCAAACTTTTCGTAGTATTGGAATAACATAACAGCTTCGGTTGAGGGAAGAGTTTTTGTGGATTTTTCAGTCGTTGAAGTTGAAAGTGAAGTCAGCGAAAATTAGCACCTTCGACAACTGCCTCTATTTACGTTTACTTGGAGTGCTAAAATCGCTTAAGCTGCTCCATACTTTTGGGAAAGGTTGAGCTAGAAGTCTCAGCAAGGGAATCTCAATAGGACGTTTTGGAACCGAAGATTTTAAGAACGTTTCAGACAGTTGCCCAACCTTCACCTAGCCAGTTGGGTAGGCTCACGTCTGTTCCACCTGAAATTTTATGCTAATAGTTGATATGTTTTGCATATTCTGATAGCAAATTTCAGGCTCCATAACACTGCAGTGAAAATATGTTCTCCAGAGCTGTTTACTTTCTGCTAATTTCAGGTTATCATTACGGAACGTGAGGTCGTGAGATAGAGGCAGTTGTCGAAGGTGCTAGTGGGCTGGCTAATAAGTAATGGCCGTTTTTTTCAATTGAAAAATTTATTCCAAAGTAAAACGTTTTGCAAGCAATGCTTAAATATCGTTTAATACAAACGTTCTCGCAGTATTTGAAATATCAAACTCAAAATTTAATTCATTCAACTATTAGCATGAAATTTCAAGTAAACGTAAATAGAGGCAGTTGTCGAAGGTGCTAATTTTCGCCGACTTCACTTTCAACTTCAACGACTGAAAAATCCACAAAAACTCTTCCCTCAACCGAAGCTGTTTTGATATTCTAATACTACGAGAAGTTTGCTATTAAATGATATTAAGCTTGCTTGCAAAACGTTTTACTTTTGGAACAAATTTTTCAATTGAAAAAAACAGCCATTACTTATTAGCCAACCCAATACACCTTTCGGCCTTTGCGTGAACCTCCATATCCCGGCAAATCAAACTTCCTCCTTGACCTGGAAGACCCTCCTGTAAGAGAATATCGGTAATAATTTTTCTTCTAAATCACCTCTCCAATCAATTCTCATTCTTCATTTCTCAAGGAAATGCTCTCTAGGACAAAAAAATCCCTTAGTTCTACAAATTTTTGTAGCAAATTCCCCACGATAACCAAGCTGACCATTCGACACTTTTCGGCTTGGTAGAGACATTTTGCACTATCGCAGGTCCACTTTGTTAGCATCTGTTATCTGAGCTCTAATTAGTCTAAGAAATTAAGCTACATATTATTGGTTACACTATGACATAGCATACCTGTGGTTTGCATTTGTCCTTCTCTTTTTGGCGAGCCCATACAGCTCTGCCCAGTTGTTTGTTCCACTCACAGGCTCGCTCCACTTTCTGCTTGTCGCTTTCTGTGTTATATGGACTAAGAAAGAGCCTTAAAAATCTTTCTAAGGAGCCTCTAACAATGATAAAGATAATGGAATCCAGCACTGTACGCTGGCCCACTGATTTCCGCATCCTTCCCCGAATCTTCATTCAAAATATATGCAAAAAATCTTACAAGGCACTTGAACAGTAGCATTGGCTGACGCTTCCCTCCAATCCAGTCCTCCATAGCTGTCCACAGTCTTTTCCGGTTGACAGTTGTCTGAAAGCATTCACATTCCCTCTGTACAATCTCATTAAGACGTCGCACTCGATAAGGCCTAATGGGTGTCAGTTGTGGGTTTGGCGCAATTAAGTGGCGGCTTGAGGTGTTGTTTCCGGGGTGCTTATGTCGCCGCCAAGAGGCCTGCTCTAAAAGGGCAATGCGGCCGCGGTTTGCCGGTCAGCCAAGCGCGGAAATTGACGTATCTAGGCGATTGGGCCAATCTCGAGGCGCATTCATAATGGATTGAGGAACAGTTACGACCCGGAGATGAAAGCCGTCTCAGTGTTGCGCAACCCTGCCGTCGGGGCAAATACGACGGGATAGACGCCATGTAATCAGATGCGCGTCAGAATGAGCTGCTGGACGGAAGCGCTATGGAAATTGAGCTTCTATAAGCTTTCCGGGAGGCTATAAGTGACGATCAAGAGAAATTGTGGCTTTAGTCAGGCTTTTAAACTGATGCTTGGACAAATGCCGACGAACTGTGATGAAGCGTCAACTGACCAGTTTTGTCGCAACCAACGCCAACGAATCCATGAAAGCACTGACAATGAGCGCCACGACTATCCACAAACTGCTCGAGACGGTTAAACGCGCCGTAGTAGCACAACGGAACACCTCCAGAGGAGCAGTCGCCATCACAGGACAAATGAGAATGTCAAATGTAAAAGACTCCGTCAAAATGTAGAGTTATTAGCGAATGCTAAAGTGTACGGTACCGTTCTGGAATACGGTAAAACGCTGCCATTCGCTGGGCGTTTCCCCGTTGGCGTCCAATGCTGACACCTTGAAAGTGAAGTTACCCGATGGTGAGATCGCTACCTGGAATTGAGCGTTACTGTACTCTTTACTGTAACCACGTCGATTAGCCATAATCTTCGAAAACAAACGAACACCGGAATAGTGTGGGCGTAGAGGAATTTACTTCTGCGTCTTCCTGAGTAACTGTAGGGTAAACGACAAAATAAAGGCCCGCCTGAACCACTAAAATTTCAGATAAGGGCCAGCTTGTTGATCACTGACAGACGCTAAATTACATATTTATGGCCTAATCTGCGCTATTATTTGACCCAGGGGAACTTTCGAAGAAATCTTTGAGTAAAGGGATCCATTAAACGGAATACTGGAAATGTTGATGGTGAAGAAAAAGAGATGCGTCCACACCTCAATAGCAAATTATTATCCAGACTGGTTAGTGGTAGTTTTCTGTTGTTAACAAAATTAAAAAATCATACTGCAATAAGGAAATCACAAAATTTCCACTAAACTGACCTTGGTGAGGGCCACTGTTCGCCTGGCATCAAGCTCCCGGAGAGGCCTCCTCATAGTGCATACTCTCGCCTCTAGCAATAGTCAGCCGATACTTTTCTGGATGACCGTATGAAGGTGATTCCCACTCAAAAATCTGATACTCTTCAGTAGCGACATTCACACGCAATCCTCGCACCGCTGAAATCTGAGTTCAAGCAATCCAGGTACAAGCTCTTGAAACCGTACACTCACGTGATACTGTAACTGGGACAATGGTGACATTTGCGAGAGTGAACAGTTGCGGGCTGCCGTAGTCGATGGCAAGAACCTGTAAGAGGAGACGGTTAATGGTTGGAAGTGGAGGAAATGTGACGAGAATACTTACTTCCATTCGAATTGGTTTGAAAGCTATTTGTGTAGTGAGTTCCTCCTTGAGAATTATTGTACCATCAGACTGCACCGTAAAGAACGGCTGGTCATGGAGTGAAACTCAGGACTGCGCTCGCTATTGTATATCACCGGATCATTGTCGTGTACCTGAAAAGTACCGTTCAGATGAAAAGGGCAGATGCCCGGAGGTCCAGTGTCTTCTTCGTTGAAATAGAATCAAATCAACGAAGGCAGTGTAGTGTGTCGGGTTTTGTACAACATCGCGGATGCAAAAGGGTTCCAGAGAGAGCGGAAGGAAGAGTGGCGCTAAGTGCCATTCGGTACTCCAGACCACAGCCTTTTAGAGAACTGCTCGCGCCACGCTCAAGCAATGTCAAGCTTGTCCAACTGGATTGGATCCATAACTTCCGAGTCGCCCGCCCCCCCCCACTCTCGAGGCGGTTCAACAGTTGAGTGACGTGGTGGCTGCTGCTGTTTTAACTCATTATATAGTATCTTGCGCTTGATTCGCCCATTGAGGGGGAGGACAATAGCGGTCCTGTTCGTGGATACAGGTGCCTTTGTTATTTGTGTTTGATTCTTTTGTGCCTTCGAGGTTGTTAGGTGGAACTATTTATTAACGGCCTAACGTTTCGACCAGATCGTCGTCCTCGGAGGCCTGAACATTGCTCAAGGTTTCTAATTTGCTTTCTAAACCGTCAAACGCCTCGTCCCCCTAGCGTTTCTGACAAAACTTCTAGGAACAACCGAAAATATCCCGTATGTATAACCAACTCACCAAGTCCACCGCGGTAGGAGCGGAAGTAGCCGCCCAGTCAGTTGTTAGTAGTATTTGTGAGACTTACTGTGCTGTCCTTACATATAGTAATTATATTCAAGACTTGCACGTCTCACTGCTTACAGTAGCTGGCAGTGCGGTGAAAATGGCAAGAGATCATTTGTTATGGATAAACACTCATTACGGTTGTTCATTCTAGGATTCCTAGCAGAAATCCAGAAATGCCTCCAGCGCTTTCCTGGCGGAAACCTCAGTCTCGTACGCTAAAATTCTGCACTTCACATCATAGTCGGTTCCGCAATGCTCTTCGATCAGATGCCTGCCCAACGGTGTTGTTAGTTTACCACGCCTTTTACCAGCAAGATGTTCCTTGATGCGCGTTGCTAGCGCCCTTCCAGTCTCCCCAATGTATGTTGCATTACACGTCTGGCATTCAAGTTGGTAGATCACACCAACTTTGGCGCAATCTCCTATTCTACCATTAGGACATACAATGCAATGGTCTGATATACACTGCTTATCGTAGAGTCTATTTCGTACAAGCTGGCGCCTGATGTTGTCATTGGGAATGTTCACCAAGACAACATCATTGGTCAGCTGTGCACGAGCCAGACATCTTTGAATTGCAGCGGTTATATTATCAGATATGAACGGTATACATAGGGGGATCTTGCTTTTGGCGAGTTTCACGGGAAGTGGCGTCGCGTCGCTAATGACGACGATTTTCAGGTGGTATTGGTCGAGAATAGACAATGTATGACCAAAAATAGACATAAGTGTCTACCATGTCCTTGTCTACATGAAATCCGATGCTCCAATCGAAAGGGTAGCGCAAATTGAGGAAACATTGCTGCGCGCGATGAAGCGGCAATTTACGATTCTCTTGCCCGTCTCCCGAGCTGACAGGGCTCGAACCTGCAACTCACGCTTACCATACCTGTGGGCTAAAAGCCATCAAACTGAGAGGGTGGAAAGACGGCTCTGGTGGTGCAGTGGTTAGCACACTACCCCGATAACTAGGGTTCTAGATTCGAGTCTTGCCTGGACTGGTTTTTAATACTATACAGGTTGTGGGCTTACCTGAAAGCTTCCATGATGTCGGTTTGAAGACACATTACGCAGTAATCGAAAGGAGGTGAAGTTGTTACTTAGACGTCTCCTGCCACTGGCGAAAATCTTCAAAATACGCTTTCCACCCCCCCCACCCTGGATTTCTCTCTCTGGTATGCCCCCTTCCCCATGCTATCTACCATATTATTAGGAGTTTTTTCGACTTCCTCCCATTTTTCCCACTTTTCCGAAATTAAACCACCGGTTTCTTGTTTCCCCCGGAAAACTACCGTCGGTGCGACGGTCCCTTTATCGCTCAAACAGTTACTGATTCCGACTGTCGAGAATAGTGAATGTATTGTACAGGACTTTGATTGCGTTACCAACTAGGGGCGAGCTGGAGGGGGGGGGTAACCACACTCGTAAAGGGAACAACATCAAGAAGTCAACGGACAGAAAAAATGTGTCCTTTAATACGAAGTCCCTCCTTATTTCTCCGCCTTTCCGATTATCGCAGAATGCGATTTTAAGCGATTGCTTCATGAGTTCCAACAATCAGGGACACAACACATGGGTTTCTTATGTTTCGTGTTCAACTTGATGCGAAATTGTAAGTTTGGAAAACATAGGTGATCTCCTCATACCTTCAGAAGGAGGCTGGTCGACACGAGGGTTACGCCGAATCGATACCAACTATCACGGGTTTGTTAAATGTGAGGCGAACCACATGGGCGTGTTTTCACTCTTACCGGTACGTTTTGGATTTTGCGGTTTCTTCACTCCCTTCGAGGGTCACGCTGAGTTTCTTCAGGAGAGCTATTTCTTTGACGACGATGATGCGATGCGAGATTTGGGCGTGCTGTTGCCTACGGTAACTACGTTCATCTCGATGATATGCTCCATCTTCTTGCTTTTCATGGCAGCTGTGCAAAAGTGAGTCGTATTGGCGTATTTACCTGGCTGTCCCAATTCAATGAGATGATCGATATGTAGTGGACGCTGCCCAGGATTA